CTTTTTAGTAATGTTTTTAATTAAGGTTTTATGTATTTATATATTTTATGTTTTTAAAGTTTGTTGTGAATCGCCCAGAGTTCCCCCATTGGGGGGAGATGGACGGTTGAAAAAAATAAAATAAAATAAAATAAAATAATTTTATGTTTTTAAAGTTTGTTGTGAATCGCCCAGAGTTCCCCCATTGGGGGGAGATGGACGGTTGAAAAAAATAAAATAAAATAAAATAAAATAATTTTATGTTTTTAAAGTTTGTTGTGAATCGCCCAGAGTTCCCCCATTGGGGGGAGATGGACGGTTGAAAAAAATAAAATAAAATAAAATAAAATAATTTTATGTTTTTAAAGTTTGTTGTGAATCGCCCAGAGTTCCCCCATTGGGGGGAGATGGACGGTTGAAAAAAATAAAATAAAATAAAATAAAATAAAATAAATAAATAAAGTATATATTTTCAAAATGCTAACAGAACTGCTCTATGAACTGTCAGCAGAACAGGATATTTAGACCTGCCAGATTTTATTCCTGGAGAAAATGTAAACTGGAAGAATGAAATCCTTCTCAAAGGAGCATTTTTAGGAAAAGCTATTTTTTGCCCTCGCTGAAATCATGTACAATAATGCCCCCATATCTGCAAGCCTTTCCCCTTAACTATTTTGTTTTGTCAGGGTGGATATGCCATGTATATTCCCCCTTTGCTCCAAGGACTCCTCCCAATAGTATCTTCACACTGGAGAAGTAACGTGGGAAAACTTGGTGGTAATATGTTGACAGAGCCTATGACTGAGTCTCCACATGCCTCTTTTCTCCTTGGAATGGAAGAGTGGGGAAATGGTAGCTTTTATCTGCTGCAGGGAACTCAAGGTGTTGCTGTGACATCTGTTAGTGAGTGGCAGTACTCATCTTACTAGAATTATTTGCAGGATTAGCAGTCAGCAGCCTAGGCTAAGGGTACAAATGCTGTGCCAAAGAAATAGGGAAGCAAAATCTCAAAAGTGAATGGGGGCATTCAGAGGAGAGCATCAATCCAGCCAATGCTAAATAGAAGCAGAGCAGAATGATAGCCTAGGCCTTAATAATGCAAGGAGGGACCAAACGCCATTATGCCTAGAACTTATTCATCCAGTCTGCTGCCTTTCTATACTGACACTAATTGTCTCTCCCTTTCTACTTAGGAATGTATGTTGGTACAGTGACAGACTGTGCTTGAAAGAGATAAAGAGAATAGACCCCTGGGCAAATGAGTTTGATGGAGGGATGTAAGGAGAGGAGGAGGAAAAGGGTGAAAAGCAAAAGCAAGATAGGACAGAAGTATACTCTGTAATGTCATCAGTGTGTCCACAAACAGGCTGGGTTCCCTCATTACTAGGGTTTACAAAATCAGCTTGCTAGGTTCAAACAGCCCAATAAATTACAAACCATGATTGTGGCTTAATGCTGTTTCTTTAGGCATAGCTTGTACATCATGGCTTATAATTTATTGGGCTTAGCACAACTCCTGTTCCTATTCCTATCTAATCGCATATTTTAGCATTTGATGGACATCTGATTAGCAAACAGGAATGTTCATGAACATTTGGGGCATAATTTTAAACAGAAGGAGAATCTATGGGTTAGCCATGGCACAAAGTCAAGGTTCTGTTCTTATCTGCTTCACCAGGATTGTTCAACAGCGACTTCTTCAGTTGTTGCGTGCTCTTTTGCTTATGCTGTTTCCCTCCTTGGGACTGAATTTAGACCTTTATGTCTGCCTGCTTGCCAACTTATACACAGCCCCATTAATTTAAAGAGTACAGTTTAAGCACTGTAATAGGACCTCTTGGTTTTTGTGAGATAGATAGGATGTGCAGGAATTTAACTTGACTTGATTATTTCCAGCCAGAAAAAAAATCCTGAATAGATACAAACTAATTTAAAAATAGCCTGTTATTGAACATTTTTTCAAGATGTATTGTTAACAGTTTTCTCTGTCAGCAAAAATTAATCTAAAGATCATTAGAGAAACCAGTCTTGTGTCCAGTATATGTTCTACTATACATACAGTAGCTGCTTGGTCTGACATTAAACTGGCCTTTGTATAGAGATAATCAAGGAAGTCCATTAATTGTTTTGGTATTTTGCAAATGCAACCCCCAGTCACTATTTCTCTTTGAAGTTCCTTAAAACATTGTTTGTATCTCTTGTCTTTCACAGATTTGTCCTGGATTGTTCTTACGGCAGATAGTGACGGTTTTATTCCCGTAACATTTGAATCCCAGCAGGAGATCATTATAAGGGATGCGAATGCCAGATCTAGCGACAGCAGTGGCGCTTCTTCCAAAGGACTAGGTGCTGTCAGTTCCACAGTGGGATACAGGAAGCTTTCCTCCCAAAGTCTGGATTTCACAGCCAGCTCCATGGAAGTCCTGAGAGAACAGTCTTCTCAGTGTCTAGTACAGAGCAGCCTTTCTTCAGGTCAAACCAGCAGCTCTTCCTAATCATGACTGTTTGCGAGTTCTCAACACAGAAGTGAAATCTTTCATGATGCATAATTAAAGTTGGGACCACTATATATTGTGCTTTCATAAGGGGGTGATATTTTGCTGAACCATCACACTTGCCTTTGATTCCTTTTCACTGTTACTCCATGGCTTACTTGCCATTTCGGCTAATAATTTAAATTATTCTTGCCTGGTAGAGCTGGTAGACCAAGTGTGCAAGGCTTCTCAGTCTCTACAAGCCTATTTGCTAGGTGGGCTGAACATATTTTCATTTTTAGATTCTATCAGCAATTACTGTGCTGAACACAAAGTTAAATGTTTGCCAAAGCCTAAAAGGGCTTTTGCTTGAGGAAAGAGGACTTAGCATTTTCTCAGACGTATCAGTGGCATGAACATACTGAAAAAAAATGTGTGGATTTCTAGTGATTCTAGAAGTAGAAAACAAAACTGAGTCACATTTGTGGAGTCCTTGGTGCTCTCTGAGCTTGGTAGTTTGATTGCAGACGTTTCATTACCCAACTAGGTAACATCATCGTGCTGTCACATTTATTACAGTGAGTCATATTTATTACTGTATTATAAAACAAAGTCTTATACCTGTAGTTTCTGCTTCATTGCATTACTTTTAACTTCATTATTTTACCAGTGCCTGTTAAGAATATACTTGAAAGTTATTAGAACATTTACAAAACTACTTACTAATGAGTACCAAAGTCCTTCAGATGTAACAGTACCTGAAACTAAGGTTGACTCATTTTTACTTAGTTTTCCTTCAGAGTGTCCAAGAAACATTTGCAATATGCATGTAAGTTAAATAACTCTGATTTACAAAATAATAAAAATGCTTTCGTTCATAATAGTTGAAAGCTGTCAACTAGCAAGTGTAAAATATTGCTCTAGCCACTGAATTATAGCGGATGAGGGGCTGAACTGGTTTTGAAAATAAGTCTCACAAACACAATCTTACATTGATGTTCTCTAGGCATGCCGGAACAAGGTTATTGTGTTGTTTAGACTTCGTGAAGGAAAGGAAGAAAAGGGACACTTATTTTTTTCATCTTGTTCAACCCCTTTCAAAGGGGCTGTCTCCCCCTAAACTTTGTGTTTTACAGCTTTGAAGCAGAAGGGGGCAGTCATTCCTATGGAGAGTATTTCTTTCCCATTGTGAAACAGCCTTTGGTGATGAGGGTGATATGGATTTAACTTTGGGCCATACATAATCTGAACCCTAATTTCCATCATTCCGTCACTGAGATTACTTAATAAAAACTGTTTGGAATATAAATGGACTATTCTTTCTTGAATGTCCCTTTTTTTCTTTAACCATCACCCTTATTTGATGTAAAATGGATAATAGTAGCTATTGCCATGTTACATTCCCTTTTTCTGTCCTTTAAGCCTCCACACTCAAAGTCCCTTCCTTAATATTCCTGCCTATTGTAGGATTTCATGAATACCTTCAGTGTATAATTAGATGACTATTTGTTTTCTGTCTCAGTTAAAATATGTGAAAAACAGAGTAACTTTCAAATCATTAGACCTAATGTGCAGTGAGTATTTGCTAATTATTTCTAGCTGGATCTTTAAAGCTTCCATTTCACTTAAAGAAAAGTGCAGAAAACAATACAGATAAAGAAAAAAGAAAAAATAATTAAAGAAGCAACGTCTGCCCTTCTTTACAGCAGTTACAAACTCATTATCCCTCCTCCCTCCTTAACATTACAATAATCCCTTCAGTCCCTTATTCAATTGTTTTTCAATCATCAAATCCAGAAATCATCATTTCACTTTTTTCCATTTTCATCAAAAAGTCCATAAGTTTTCAGTCTTTTATAAAAATACTGAATACAGGTCAGTTTTGCCATCTCTGCTAACCCTAAGGCAATTTCAAAATTAAAACAAGCAGCTTTCGAATTGCAATACTAGGCAAACAAACTATGTTAAATTCATGAATTGCATCATGCTACTTTTTACATGTAAACAATATGGATCATGCAACATACTAGGCCATAATGTAGCTTACTGGTTTTGGCTATGAATCCAGCCAAATGTGATTTGTTAACCATAGTTTATGTCTTAGGGTAATTAAACTGTACCTTAGTACTATGTGTGAATGAAGTCAGTGGCTCAGCTGTTTGAAGAAACAATTCCTGTAACTCTAAACTCTCTCAGCCCAACTCACCTCCCAGGATTATTGTTGTGGGGAAAATAGGAGGAGGAAGGAGTATTAGGTATGTTGGCTGCCTTGAGTTATTTATAAAAATAATAAAGACGGGATAAAAAATATAGATAAATAAAATTTTGTTTCTGAACCAACTAGCTAGGCATAGCAGCAGAATGAAACATAGCAATTTATTCTAGCCGTCGTTATTACTATTTACTTATTTTAAAATGTCGTGGAAAACATCAGAAGATTGATATGAGTAAAGGTGAACTTTAAAGTAGCTGGTCTGACACTGTGTCAAGATAAGTACTGGGTTTACAATGAGCAAAATACTAATGCAGTTTGTTTGGCTTTGGTTTAGCAGAATGTACAAACCCAGCCCCATTAAGCCCTGACTTCATGTTATATTTATGCACATCTTTTAAAAGTAAGAACCAGCATTTTGAATTTTCACACTACTTTGTGCAATAGCGAAATGTATCAGCGGTGCTGAGGGGAAAAGTTTGATCAGGGTGGGTAAGGTAAATGAAAGATAACTCAGTGACTGTTCTTGAGCTGCAATGCTGGTTATATTCCAAGTGGCCGGTTTCCCAAGTCTCAGCAGAACTGGCTGTCATCAAGGGAAAACAGAGGACTTGAAGTTTCCCCATAAAATCCTTTGCAATGAAGTTGTAAGTTTTAAGTAAATTAAAGTTATTATTAGAATGTCATCTTTGAGGCTGCTTAAACTGTTGTATTACCTAGACTCAAGTATTTTGTACACCTGTATCCCCATCAAAATTTATGAAAAACATTCAGCTTTTCCCCATAGATATACATACATATTTCACTATTCCATACATGCAGAATTCATTTTACAAACCTTTGAGGTTAAATATTAATATGAGAAACAGATTAATATTTACAAAGACAACGGAAATGAGAAAAAGTGGCTTTTATATTGATCTCAAATGCAATTTCTCAAGACTCCAAAAGGGGCAAGTTGGTTCTCCTGACTGTTGAACAAGTCATAAATCAAGAAATAACTTTCTCTAGTTATTCCTTTAAGCTGAACATAGACAAAGCCATTATAAAATGTTCAATTCTGCTTTTTATTTAAAATATTGTAAGGTTAACAAAATGTTACCACTTCAAATTGAGTTTCCAGTATTTCATTTTATTTATCAAATTTGTATAGCCATACATCACTGAAAATTTTGCTGATTGCTGTTAAAATAGTTTGCTACTGTGTTCTTGGAAGAATTGATAGTTTTCTTGGCACCTTCTGTATTTTATAGTGATACCCCTTTGTGTGCATGTGCTTGAATGCATGTGTGCTTAAAGACTATATATACACGTAAAGTATATTGTTCAATATCTGCTTTCTTAAGTCCTAGATAAAAGCACTTCACAATATTCCACAGATAAATTGTACAGCAAAACACACTGAAGGCTAGTAGATTTATTCAATAAGCATTGAGGCAAGCATGTATCAAACACTATTTGCAATCAAACTATTTGTAATATATCTTAGGGTTAGGGTTAGGGTTAGAACTCTGGATGAAAATAACACTGCACCCAATTAAGTAGTGGATTGAAGACCTGCTATTACTTGCAACTTCACAATAGGCTACTTGTAGATGTAGGTTATGGCTGGATGGCTACCATGAAATATGGTTATCCTTTACTGAAATTGTTGCATAAAATTTCACAAACATATATGAGAAGCTCTTTTATATGTACAGTTGCAAGAAAAAGTATGTGAACCTTTTGGAATTTCATGGTGTCTGCATTAATTTGTTATAAAATGTGATCTGACCGTCATCTAAGTCAAGAGTACTGACAAATATAATGTGCCTAAAA